TTGGCACCCTGCCCTTCAGGCTCTATGAAATGGAACTGGTTTGAGGATGGAAACTGACAGTTCTCCTTGTACCATGTGGGTCATTGTGCTTAGTCTCCCCATGGGCATGCAGGATGTTGCAACTGCTCACCTAGAAGCAGAGTCTACAAAGGGAATCCTGGAGGGGGAGAGCTATTTTGCACCAGATTAAGATGAGGGAGGCGGCGGCAGGGGCAGTGTAGGCCAGTGGGTGGAGAACCCTGCCTGCTGGACCACAGATAATCCCCCAAGGGAAGGGTGACCTAGTGAGGGATGTTGCGATTAGGCTGTTGCCTTGTTTTGTGTGATCTCTACTCTCCAGGGCTTTACATGATTAAATAAAGAAGAGCATAAAAGTTGAAAGAGTATCAAAGCATGTGCGTGTGCTGACTGCATTCCTGAGCGAGAGTTCAGCTGTAAACCAGAAGCTTCCCACCTATTGAGTGGCGTTCTGGGGGATGGGGTTCAGGGGAGAGGGTCTGAAGGGTCAGCGTTGCACCCAGGGGGGCTAGGTGGCTGGACAGCAGGTTCCAACACTGAGGGATGTCAGATAGGTCTGTGTTCTGAGAGAGCACCCAGGGACCCCAAGATCGGGGCAGTGGCTGGACCCGGTGCTCGCTCGGATCTGTGACAGAGAGTCGCTGCCTAAACCAGAGAGCTTGCCGGGCAGTGTTTTTGCAATGCAGTCAGGATGTGAGAACGCTGTAGCAGAGTTTCAACAGACCCCGCGGTTGCAGTTCTGCTCTGGACTGTCGGATAAATAACACATGGGGCAAAGTTTACATTTAACCTGGCGTAGCATGGAGACGAAAAATACAGAAATAAATCTTGGAAGTGCTTCTCCAAAGCTGAAAAAATGCTCTAAACCTGCCCCATCTAGAACAGAAACTGCGGCGTTTGGTGCTTGGGACTTGGCAAAGTGGAGATTTGGGGGGAGGGATGTTCGGCTGTGGGTAGTTGCTGCATTGCTGCATGTGACAGGCTGACCTGGGAAGCGATCCAGGTCTGCTGAAGCGATAGCACTCAGGCCGTACAGAGGTGGAAGAGGAGGAGAAGAACTGCTTTGGAAATGTTGCCTAGCAAGACCATCGGAATCCAGGGAAAGATGAAGAGATGGCAGAGGAGCAAGGAGAACACGCATCAAGAAACTTGCCGACGTTGGAATGAAAGGTAGGAAGTGTTGGCACTCGATTCCTCCTGTTGTTTCTTCTTCTTGCCCCATATGACTTTTTTCTCTGGGGAGGAGCAGGTGGTATGCAGCTACCTAGACGATGGGTGTGAGCTAGCCTCCGTCACGCTGTCACTGGCCCTTTCTACGGGACAAAGTCCTTGCACAAACCCTTAAGTTAACTTTTGTCCATCCTGAATCGGATGTGGGGCATATTCTGAGCATCCTTCTGATGGGATGGCCTTGGGGTGACAGCACAGCACTGGGGCCTGCTGGGATAGCTGGCTTCTATTCCTGGCTGTGCCACAGACATGCTGAGTAACTGTACATAGGGTATGTCTACACTGCAATTAAAAACCCGTGGCTGGCCCATGCTGCTGGCCGGGCTCGGACAAAGGGGCTGTTGAATTGTGGTGTAGATGTTCGTAAGGTGGGAGGGTCCCAGAACGCAGGCTGCAGCTCAAACCCAGGCAGTTAAACAGCCCCTTAGCCAAAGCCAGCTGTGGATGTGGCATAGCAGTGGAGACGTACCCTTAGCCTCTCCTTGTCTCCATTCCTCCATCTGTAAAACGGGAATATTGCTAACCTGGGAAAATCCTGCTGTCTTCAGTGGGACCAGGATTCGGCCCTAGTATTTTGTAAAGGGCTTTGAGATCCTCGGGTGATAAGTGCTTTCTAAGTGCAAAGCATTATTAGCACCTCCGAACAGTGGTGGGCTCTTCAGAACTGCCAGGGATGGTGTGTGGCGGGGTGAGGGACGGAGGGGGGTAAGGGTGAGGGGTTGGGCAAGAGTCCTGAACAGCCTGGGTAAGGGAAGGCACAGATGTTGGACTTAGCCCGTGGCATCACCAGCTAGGCCAATAGTATTAATGCTTCGGGTGTAACAAGTCCTGCAGACTTGGCGTTGTGGAGAAGGGGCTACCTGCTTTCCTTTCCAGAAGATTGCTGTGGTTTTTCTTTTACCAGCAAAGAGCTGTATGAAGCCACTAAATGCTGCACTCTGATGGACCCTAATGGTGCTTTCTTCTCTCTCTCAGAACTGAGTGTGTGACATACCTGCCATGCAGGGCTGAATACAGATCCCACTGAAGAGTGCTGGTTCCGTTTTCTATCAGCGTTGGCAGGAAGGGGAGCTTTACTGGCTTCCGATGGACCTTCTTGATGTGTTGGGCTCTCTCTGAAATCAAGTCAGACCGTACGGTGCAAGTTGGCTGAATTCAGCTATGTGCATTGGGAAGCCGCCTGAGCAAGCATGACGTGGCATTGGTGTACACGGTGGTTTCTTTGTGGCATGCTCTTAGCTCCAGAATTCTTTCACTTGAGCTTCCAGCTGATGCCTAATTCAGCTTTGTCTTCTGTTCTCATTGTTCCGTCAGCAAACGAGGGATAATGCGCAGGTCTTATTGGGTGACGCATCCCAGTTCCCATTGAAACATCACCTATGCATTTTGCCAAGGACAGGGCTGTGCCGAAAACCGTTTCTGGACTGACAGCTGCTGTGATTGTCCCTCCCTTCTCAGACTTAAATGTGGTTGTCTTGGCCATGTCAGCAAATGTCTCGATGCCAGATTTCTTGACGGGGCTGAAGCTAGATGACTCGTCAGAATCAAGCGCACGTCTCTCAAATCTCCATTTGTTCTTCACCAACATCTGCTATTGTCTGGAGACTTGATACATCTGATGTTACATGCAGACTAGTAGATCTGTTGGTAAGCACCTCTGGACGTGATTCAGGGCCAGATAGGTTTGTCTTATCGATAATATGGTCGGTAAGAGCTGTAACATGATCTTCATCCCTCTTCCATGTAGAGACAAGGACTTGTTTTATGGACTTTGTCCTCACTGCTTCTTGTTAGGTCGTAGCTTTTGCATATTCATAATATGAAGCTGTGTATTGTCCTCTCTAACACTAATACTGACCTGTGCATAAGTGTCTGAATTAAAAAGCTAGTTTCTAGAATATTTCAAAGGCTAGTACAGCATGTGTAGGTAATTGCAAATTAAAACCTTCTACCAGGCAGACTAGATGCTACAATATACGTACAAAAATTTACCAATGGAGAAGCATTACCTTAAGAATTTCTATACTTTATATCTACCCGCAATGCAGTACAAACTGTTGGTACAGCGTCTACTGTGGCTGGTGCACAGTGAGAGACTCATCTGGCCAGTGAACTTCAATTGAAAATATAGAAAACTATTTGTGAGATATTTGACAATTAAGAATATGCGACATGAAAACACTTTGTGTCAGTATATTGTAAAATGTTGATAGCTGCCATTTTTGCCACATGCTAAACAGCTTCATTGTTTTGGGGGGGGGGGGGGGGGCTTGTCCACGCAAAACCAATAACAATACCCGCAGTTAAGTGTCTGCACTGAGTTTCTCTGCAAAATCTGATGGCAGCAAGGATGGGAATCCGAGTGTAGCGTGACGGCTGGTGTCTTTTTACCGGTCTTGTTTTAGTTGCAACCCTAGCTCCGTCACTGACTTTCCATGTCTGTCTCGTTGTCCCATCTGTAACATGGTGATACTTAGCTGTGGTACTTCTTGGTTAGAAACAAAACAAAATAAAACCCAGCCCCTGCCCCAAGGGACTTAGTTTCAGCGTAAGACAAGAGATGGAGACAGACATGAGCAGAAGGAAACAATGAGACCGCTTTGGTTAACATGACAGGCGGTGGTCTGAGCGCAGCAGCAGCTTAACCGTTGTCAGTTTTTTGCAAGCATTGTGGCAGAGGAGAGTTGGAAGGAGGACTATACGTTAGTTTTGCAGATGTTTATGGGGAGCTCCTTCCCAGCATAAGGGGCAGCCTGGGAGAAAGCATGAGGGGGGTGTGAAAATTTGACAAGTGGGTGCAGGAGGCTGGGACCGTGGGCTGACTGTGAGCGAGGATCAACAGCTTGGTAGCAAATGAGCTAGGTAGGGCGGGGACTGGCTGTGAAGGGCCTTGAAAGTGAAGACCAGCAGTGTTCGTGCTCAAGCAGGGCGGTGGAGGGATGCGAAGAGAGGTGACATGGTCAAAGTGACGGGCTAGGAAATGATCTTAGCAGCAGCCTTTTGAAGGGGTATCGGGGAGGCTAAGATTGTTGGTCGAGTTAAACCCTGAAGCAGGAGGGTTTGTGTCTGCCCAAACTCTTGGGGGTTTTTTGTTGTTCTGTATCACAGAAGATCAGTAAAGAACTCTGAAGAGCTCTGTATGAGTGTGAAGTGTTCTCGGGGCACTGTACAGGTAATCCACAAAGGGAATTCTAGAACCAGGGTTTGTCCCTCTGTGTGGCTGGAGGGTGCGGGAGTTGATCTGTTTTCTGTAGCCTTATAAATACCAGGATTGTCAGCTCTATTCTTACGGAGCTTTGCTGGAGGGCGTCTCTGGAGAGCCTGCTAGGTGAAGGGGCAGAGCGCTGAATCTGTAACTTCGGTAGCTAATTGGCAGTTTGGAGAAAGGATGTCTGTGTTAAACAGTCTGACTAAAAGTCTTTCACTGAAAGGCCACTTCCAGCTGCAAAATGGGTACCTGCTCCATCGGGGTAGGGCAGTCCGTGGTGGTCGGCCGTGATACTGGCCACATCGCTCCCTTGTGTACCCTTGGACATGAAACTGACCTGCCTGAACTGCATCTGCCCAATGAGCCATTGGCTGGGGGGACTTTGTCTCACTGCCTCAGTGCTTTTAGAACTAGTGAAACGGGCCCTGGCAATCACCACAGAACTTCCCTGGCTAGGGACCTGGATTTCCAAAGTGGAAAGACAAGCGGGTCATGGAGAATGGAAGAAGGGTATAGGCTCACTTTCTGCCTCCTGCTGCAGGTCTCCTTTACAAACAAACAACTGTCCTCTTCCATCTGGCCTGTATGGTCCGCATCTGTAGTCTGGTGTTGAGATGCCCTCTTGAGTGACTCCGGCACGGTGGGAAGGAAAAGAGACGCACAGCCATCAAGGTAGGTGAGAAAGGGAGACAGCCGGGGTGTGCTGTGGAGCACAGCCCCATAACTCAGTAACCAGCTGTCTCCGGTATCGGGTTCACCATGGCTCCAGGCCCACACTTAGAAGAGGCCTCGGTAGCTGGACTGTGGCCCTGCTTGGCCCCGGCCCTTCTCGGCCTCTTCCCCCTGAAGTCCCGCCCACTGCTCACTCCTCTCCACCCCTTCCTTGGGGAGAAGAGGCTGAGCAGGGGCGGGGGCTCAGAGTAGAACATGGATGGAGTGGGGGGGCAGGGCCTCAGGGTGGAGTACAGGCAAAGCGGGGGGTGTGGAGCCCACAAAAGATCAATCCAGCCCTAGCTGTCTCACTGGCTACATCTTGCTTCTCTCCAGTTCAGAGTTCCCGGCCTTTGCTGAGCCGCTGAGCTCCTGGCCTGGTGTGTGTCCCTCCCACGGTGTCCCTCATCAGGGCTCAGTGTTTTTCCCCTCGATTTCTCTATGGACAGTTCTTTCTTCCTGCCTACTCCGGGTGTTGCTCAGCAGGGTAGCTCTCCTTTCCCCAGCTCCAGCGCTGGAGGGAGTGATGATGCAGGTAGCGGGCCCTGCCGTGTGGTTCTCAAGTGCCTGGCAAAGCGGTGGGGGAATCCTTTTGCCACTGGCAAACTGCTGCAAAGCTCTGCTCAGTGTGGGTCGAGCTGCACTGAGGGGACAGGCCTGGGATTGCACCCAGCACAGCTGATTGATGTTGTCAAGGTGTGGGCGGATGGCAGAGGTTGTCCTTTGTTTCATTTTATTTTTGGGGCGCTTGATTTTTGTGCTGCAACTTGAACTGCCCCAATCTCTGCAGTTACTGGCTCACACCTGGTGCAAACCTCCCTGCCAGTTTTAGAGCAGTGTCCCTGCCACACCCCTGTGTTTGCATAGGAGGATTTACTGTGGATAGTGTGAACAATCAGTAATCCCTGCCAGTTCTTTAACACTGCGGGCATTGTTGCAACTGGGGGGTTGGCTTTGCCTATGTAAACATCTTGTTTTCTCAGCAGAGCAAAGAAATAAGGGGAGACTATGTTAGATTTCTTAAAGAGGAGGAAAAACTCTCTTGTGTTGTAAAACTTCAGCATCCTCTTGGCCCCACCCTGCCTCTGTAATCTTCCCCTCGCCCCTCTGCTCCACAACTCTTTCCCCACCTTCCCCCCAGACTTTGAGCGATTGCCCAGGCAAGGAAGAGGACCCCACCCCATTAACTTTTGCAGCATTTAAGCATTCATTTTAAAAACAAAAAGCTCTTCAGCTTTTCTGCTTGTGGTAAACCTTCCAAATGGGACCTGGTGCGGTGTGGTCTTCCAGAGTCAGTAGGCAGACCGCTCCAGGGCCCCTGCTGCTGCTATTCTGCCCTGCAGATGCAAGGTTAACAAGATTCTGGTCAATTTCTGCCGCTGTTCAGAACCCTATAGACCGCAGCAGAACAAGCTGATTCCTGCTACTGCTTGGGGACAGCTGGAGTAGCAGCAGAGGTATTCATGGAGGAGGCGTTGGCCTCTCCCCCACATACCAGGAGGCTGTGGTAGAGGGAGGTGAAAGAGGAAAGATCCTTATTTCCTGCAGCTAAAACGTGGGCATGGAGCTTCACATCAGAGTCATCTACAAGCCAGAGGCTGATCCAAAAGATGGCGTAACCAGTCAGGATCTAGGGTAGAAATCCCTGCAGCAGGGGAGCTGGGCTTCTCAGCCCCCCCCAGCCTTATGCTTTGGATCCACCTCTGTCTAGTGGGTCTAGTTCTCTAGCAAATAAATGACGGATAAGTATTTCAAGCCTTGTTCTCCTACAGGAAATGTGGCTTCTTCCCCTCCTCCCACAAAGTAGCATGTGCCAAATGAGTATTGCAGAATTCTAGCTGCTGTGGGAAGCATGGGGTGGGGAGGGAGACTGTGTCAGTCTGCTGTCCAGAATCCAGATCTGAAGCCAGCTGTGATCCAGATTCAAAGAGGAGAGAGCATTTCAGCATGGTTGTGGGCGGGGACAGGGGAGAGGGTGCTATGGAAAGAGACCTCTTTTGTGTGTGGCCAGGAAAGTGCATGGGGTGGAGTCAAATAAGACTCATCCCACTTTTCCTCGGCCTTGCAAACTGGCATCTGCCAGAGTTGGAGCTACCCAAAACCCCAGGGAAGACTAAATATCTACAGACACATTGTAACTAATTTGTGGGGTTTGATTTTTAATAGTATTCTACACTTATAGCCTGCTACATCTCACCTTCCTCTCTTTCCTTGCTTTCCCCCTCCATTCACTGTAGGAACTTAGATGTGTTTCTCCTCGTGCCATTTTAGCATGTCTCATGATATTTGTAGTTATTAAAGCTCCAGCTTCTGGAGTCATGGGAATGTGTGTCTCCACTTCCGTGTAAAAAGTTTCTAGCTCTCATGGTTATAGGAGACCGCTTAAAAACCTAACCCAGGTGCATCCCGACAGGCTGAGAAACCAGAAGGTAGAGGGGAAAAAACACCTATTTTCTTAAAAAATGTCTTGTGACTTTTAAGCTCCTCTCGGGATTTCTGGGGGCCTGAGTCATAATTTTTGCTGTTGATCGGTTTTTTTGTTAAGTGTGTGGGCTGGCGATGTTGGTTCGAGGGCCGGGACTGTAAATGGCCTCAGCACCGGTTGGCAACCATCCTGGACGTTCGAACTGAACACACCTATTCAGTCATGTAACTTCCCCCTTCCAGTAGGGGGAGAGGCCAGTACTGCCCCACGGAATCCATTTCAGTAAGAAAGGCAAGAAGGTTAAGTTTGGTGTGTGTTTGCCCCCTCAAGGCTCGCCTTGCAATGTTAGCCTGCGTCTATTGTACCTCCCGCATGGCGAACTGGTTAAGTAGGAATCGGATGTGGGGCAACGTGGATGGGTTCACGCGAAGAGAATCCGAAACTAGAACTCCTGAGCGTTCGTGTGTTTAAATGTTCAAAGAGCGTATTTAGTGTTTCCGTTCTAAGTCGGATAAAGAGGATGGGGTGGGAAAGCCCAGGGCTGGGAATCTGAGAGCTGGCTTCCGTTCCAAGCCCTGTCTCGGACTGTGTGGCCCTAGGCGAGTCGCTAAGGTCAGGTCTACGCTACCAAGTTGTCAGCGTAGCTGTGTCGGCCAGGTGTGTAAACCACACTCCCCGGTGACATGCTAAGCTGGCAAACCCCCAGCGTACACGCAGCTGTGCAGACAGAGCTTTGGTCAGCATAGCTGCAGCTGCTCGGGGAGGTGCGGTTACTGTGCTGGCAGAACTTCCCCTGCGGGCAGCATGTGCTGCATCTGCATGAGGTACTTTGATAGAAAGATGAAGCCTTAATTAAATGAATGTAAATGCTGATAGATCCCTAAGGATCTTCTGGGCACTGCACATCCATCCCCCGGGAGAGGAGCGCATGCTGGAGTAATAAGATGAGTGTCAGGTGCTGTACACCTGGTGGAAGCTCTCATCTTGTGGGACAACACAGAGCATCTGCAATATGCTTGGCAGGTTTGCCACCCTGGTGGGCAAGACCCAAGCGCTACACACGTACCTCCTTTATAGCTCTGGGGTTGAGTCATGCGATGGTGTGGGAGTCCTGGCCTGTCCCTTCCCTCCTCTTGACGCTCCCTGTTTTCCCCTCCCCACAGAACCAGTAATGATGAATGGTTCCAACGTTGCCAATACGACGACGTCCAACGCTAAATCCAAAGACGAGCAGGTAGTGAACGGGCACGATGAGAAGGAGAACAACCCTTTCGCGGAGTACATGTGGATGGAGAACGAAGAGGATTTCAATAGACAGGTGAGAGGGGGGCAGCTGGCTCCACATCTCTCTGCAGCCCTCACTCCCAAACCAAATTGTGCTGTTCCAACTGGGTGTGCAAACGGGCCGGGGGATGAGTAGAGGAAGGACAACCTGCTCCTGTTCTCCCCACCCTCCCATCCCCCAATTACATCTGGCCACGGTGACGGAAAGGACATGCCCTTCCCCCAAACTTTGCTCTGAATTGTAGGCAAGTCAGTTCCTGCCTGCCTAGCTTGGAAAAATCAGGCCTGAGTTGGGCATCCAAAAATGGATGTGCCCCAAATCACAGGTCACTTCCAACCGCATTGTCCGTAGCGAGCAGGGTTAATGACTTGAGCGGCAGATGCCTGCCAATAGGTGGACTCGATCTGGTCACAGGGTTGTCGCAATAACCTTAGAAGCTGTTTGCTCTGAATTTTAGCAGATGGCAACTGAGCAGAGGAAACCTTGGTAGGAGAGCGTTAATGGTCTGCAAAATACTTGATAAATGACGATCCAAACTGTGCATGACTCTCCTGTCCCATGAGAAGCTTGTAACACGTTGTGTCTGTCGGAGAAAGCTTGTGACTTAGATGAGGATGAGCCGGGAGCACTGCAGGGCTTGGTTATTAGGCAGTCTCCCCGTTCCCAACACACAGTCTTATCCCCTTGCTTCTCCCCTGCACTCCCCTAGAGTTTGTCCCGATGCCAAGCCTGTGCGATGTGGCAGGGGAAAGCTTGCCGGAGCTCTGCCGAGGGGAACAGCACACGCCTCTAGCTGGAGGAAACTTAGACTCGGCTTGCGCTGGGTGGGCAGTGAGCTCACCCGCCGCTGGCCGTTCCATTGGCTGAGCAAGCGCCTGCTATGGGCAGGAAACCTGAAACTTTCCCGCTGGAGACAGCGGACAAAGGCTTGCTGCTTTCCTGATGTTCCCCTCTCGGTAGCCTCCGTGTACCTGTGTGGTGGGGGGGGATGATGATGATGGGGAGTGATCCAGCTGAGGGCAGGAGCGATTGGACGGAGGCCTTGCTTCCCTCCACTCCCCCAACTCCCCAAAAGGAGAACTTCCTCAGTCTTTAATGTTCTCAGCAGAAAATCGCCATCTGGTAACGTTTAAGCTTGTTCCCATGGGAGCAAACCCAGCCTCCAGCTCACGATAAGCCTTCGGCGCAGAGCCGGAGTCTTGCCACGCCAAATTACGCAACAGTCGTTCCTGAATTATGGCAACTAGACACAGCCGCCGCCCACGAGCAGCTGCACGGGTGGGACTGTGTTAGACTAATTAGAGAGAATGTTTGCAAAGTGCTCAGCTGCTGGAAGCCCCATGGAAGCGCTCCCCAGCAGTGTTACATTGAGTCCAGTTTGCCTTTTTTCCCTGAAGGGAGCGTGCTATGAATGGAGGCAGATGGGGGGTGCTAAGGGGCTATAGATAGGAGTGATGGGCTGAGGGATGAAAATCCGGGGTGAATGCTGGGGAGCTGTTTGACTAGGGAATAGGGTCCCATTGCTTGGGACCCTTCCGTGAGATTGCAAAGGGAAACCAGGCTGCGCCTTCCTGCTTTGCCAGCCTCCGCTCTTAGACTAGACCGGGTTTGACTCTGGAGCTAGCCCAATGATCTAAGCCGGCCGGGAGGTGCGTGTGTGGGGTTATAGCAGCCAGACCATATAACTTGTATTGCAGGAGCACCTCGAGGCACAGGGAGGGGCCAGGTGCTGCCCATTCTAGATGGGACCATCTGCGTTACAGCCTTGACAATGGCGAGGTGGGGCTTCTGTCCCGGGGTAGTGTGGATTCCAGACTGCTCGACGCACCCGTGGGGAGTAGAAAACGTTCCCGGGGGCACAGGAAGCTCAACCAGCTTTTTCGGGACAGTCTGAGGTTTCACTGAACGGTTTCTAGTCCTGGTGGGTGTGGGGGGGGGGGGGGGAGCCCCCCCAGGGGGACAGCACTGGATTGGGGCACAGACTCAGTTGAACCATAGAGATGGGAACCCACCTCCCGTGTCGTCCGAGGCAGAGGTAACTCTGAGCCCATCGCTGTGGGTCATGCCACTGCAGTGAGTGGAATTAGCCTGAGGTGGGCTTGGCCCTGTTTCCCACTGTTAGTCTTATCCCTTCAAAAGGCTGTTAAGAGACCACCCCTTCCCTGCCCCCACAAATCCCTGTGGGGGTTGGGGGCCCAGGCAGTGATGGGACAGACCTGACTTGTGGCCAGCCCCAACTGGGTGACTTGTCCGTAGAATTGGGGTTGAATCCTTCCCAGATTCACTTTCTCCCTCTTCCCTGCCAGTTTTCTGGAGTGTTCGTTTTCTCCGGGCGGTGCTAGCCAAGCAGAGAAGTGTCTGGGTGTCTTCACAAGCCCCCAGGCTCCTTGGTACGCTCCTCCCTCATTGATTCCAGCAATGCGCCCTTTCCCATGGAAGGAAGGCTCCTGACCCAGAGAGCCTGCACATCCCAGGAGGCAGAACAGGAAGCAGTGGGCTCTGGCTGTAGTGGAGAAAACGCAGGTTCGATACTGGAGGAAGCTAGAACAAGCGGTGAGGGGAGTCGGGGGAGTCGTAACGCCTGTGGGAAGGTGCAAAGGAGATTTTAAGAGCCCCCCCCAAATAGGCACATTTTCACCAGTGAGAGCAATTAACCACTGAAACCAACTTCCCAAGGCCTATGGTGGATTCTCCATCGCTGGCAATCTTTAAATCAAGATTGGATGATTTTCTAAAAGATCTGCTCCAGTTCATACAGGAAAGAGTCCAGCGGAGGGCAACAAAAATGATTAGGGGGCTGGAGCGCATGACTTATGAGGAGAGGCTGAGGGAACTGGGATTGTTCAGTCTTCAGAAGAGAAGAGTGAGGGGGGATTTGATAGCTGCTTTCAACTACCTGAAAGGGGGTTCCAAAGAGGATGGATCTAGACTGTTCTCAGTGGTAGCAGATGACAGAACAAGGAGCAAGGGTCTCAAGTTGCAGTGGGGGAGGTTTAGGTTGGATATTAGGAAACACTATTTCACTAGGAGGGTGGTGAAGCACTGGAATGCGTTACCTAGGGAGGTGGTGGAGTCTCCTTCCTTGGAGGTTTTTAAGGCCCGGCTTGACAAAGCCCTGGCTGGGATGATTTAGTTGGGAATTGGTCCTGCTTTGAGCAGGGGGTTGGACTAGATGACCTCCTGAGGTCCCTTCCAACCCTGATAGTCTATGATTCTATGATTCTGTGAATGAATTCAGGGAAGTCCTATGGCCTGTCACGCAGGAGGGCAGACTAGGATTAACAGTGATCCCCTTAGAATCTGTGAGTCTCCGAGCTCAGACTGTCCTGACCGGATAGTAAAATCGTGTGAGCCTTGTCTACATGCCTGGCTTAGCACCAGGACATCTGCAGGTGTGGCTGCTCCCTTCCACATCTGGGCATTGTCAGCACCATTGCTGGTTTCCTTGTGATACACCTCAGCTCTACACGGAAGCATCTGCAACGGTGCCCAAGCATGCCCAGCTCCATTGCTCCCAGCAAGGTGAAGTGCTGTACCCCCTGAGTGTGTCCCTCTCACCATGCAGCCAACCCCTCTGTGTAGCTCGGGAGAAAGTGCTGGCGTCTACATGACCAACTTGGCAGCGTCGGTTCGACGGCCTCTGCGGCATCGTTGTGGCTGCTGGAGGTGCCGTTTGCTCTGCCTACGGGGGCCGTGCTCCTGCCGGGATCTGTAGCTCAGGCTGGGTTAAGGCAGGGTTCGACCTACCGTGGCCGGTCTGAGACCCAGTACCGTGCATTCATCTGCCCATCCTCAGAAGGTTGGGATCCAGAGCGGGGCTTGAAGCGCAGGGAAGGCTCTGAACACCTGCACGAAGCAGTCGGCAGGCATGGGGCGGCAGAGTTGCATTGATCTGTATTTAAATGACGGGAAAGAGGAAGCTGCTCTAGGAATAAAAATGCCCAAGGTGGGATGTCCGGGAGTAGTCGGCTCATTTGGGAGTGGAGAGTTTGGCAATCAAGGAACCTCTGTTTCTCCTCAAGGTACTATGTTACCAGTCTCAAGGACCTGAAGAGAGCCCACGCCGTCCTCTTTCGCAGCCTCCGGGCAGTCCAGTTGTTTAACCAGCTGATTTGGGGGGCTAATCTGGATCTGATTATATCCATCAGACAGCTGCAGCAGCCGGCGCCAGTCCTGTGCACACTGCGGGAGCTCGGTGGCAATCAGTCCCGGCTGAAAGAAGTCTAAGTTAACATTCGTCAGACAATTTGCAATAAACTCCTTGCAGAATACAGCAATATAGGGATGGCCAGACCCTGTTAGACCAGGACCCACCTCGTCCAGTATCCTGACTCCAGGGGCCTGTACCACTAAGTGTTGCAGAGGAAGCTGCTAGAAACCCTGAGGTGACTGCTGGGGAATGACCGGCCCCCAGGGGAGGTGTCCCAGAATTGGCTTATAAAGCTAATGTGGAGACTTGTTTTTAGCCTGCATTGCTGCTGTAGAAGAACCTGAAGATCAGAGAAGTCTCTGCTCAGCTGTTAGAGTTGAAGGGCCCTGTCCTGTTGGGAACCCTAGCTCCGTCCTGAGGAGGAGCTGGTCTGTAAGATTTCAGGCAGGATCACATATTTAAGTGTGTTTTGCTCCAGGCTTGGGCTGGGCTTGGTGCTGTCTCCTGACAGATGCTTCCAATGCCGGCCTCTGGCTTGCAGTTTCACAAGGGCTTGCTAAACACCATTGCAACTGCAAGGTCAAGGAATGGCTCTTCCCTGACACAGCAGCCCCTGCTCCCCTGTGGCTTGGAGTGAGTCAGGGTTTGTACTGGGGCAGAGGGGATAGTGCCTCCCCCTCCCCCTGCTTTTATAATCTTTGCCAAGCTCTGTTGGACCGGGAATAGTCTGATGCTTTTTAAGAAGAACTTTGTAATTAAATTGGCCATGTGGCTCTGAAGTAGCTCGAGTGTGCCTGGAGCCCAGCTAAAGACCCTGTGGCATGTTTGCTTCCCCGATGAATTGCCTGCTTGGTGCAATAGGTCATAAGTAGGGACCTACCAA